GGGGGGGTGGTGGTGGTGCAGGGACGGAGGGCAGCAGGGGGGCCAGACTCTAACTCCTCTAACTCGACCCTCTCTGGCTCCGTGACTGAGGCTGACTGATTGGCATCTGGCTCTCACATATGTTCTCTCCTCAAGGCTTTGCCCGTCTGGGAGTCCTGGAGGTTAACAGCGCAGGCGCCTGCCCTGGGAGGCAAGGGGCTCATACACTAACTACAGCTTAGAAGTTCCTCAGCCCACAGGTCAGCCTACCAAGTCCCTGTCGGGCTGGACCCAACACTGGGTCAGGAGGTGGGAAGGGAGGGCATGAAAGGGCAGCCAGGACAGTGCTTGGCTATGGTACCCTAGCCAGCGCCCTGGCATGTCTCATGGGACAAAACCATGGAGGCCACTTTGGCCCATTGTGTTGGACAGTTTGTTTCTATGAGAGAGAAACCAAACAAAGCAGCTTCAAGGAGAGAATCTGGAGGCTCACTGTTTCAGAGGTTCGAGTCTGTGGCCAGCTGGCTTCATTTGGCTCCATCACGGTAGGCCTGAGGTGAGGCTGAAGACAGAAGGGTATGGCAGGGGAAAGCTGCTTACCTTACAGTGGCCAGGAAGCAGACAGACAGACAGACAGATGAAGGGTCCAGGGAAAGGTGTAACCTTCAGAGGCACACTCCAGAGGCCTACCTTCCCTAACTAGGCCTTCTATAATTTCTGCCACCTCCGAGTAATGCCCACAGACTGTGAATCCATTGATTAAATCAGAGTCCTGGGATCCAGTCACCTCTCAGTGCTTAGATCCACCAGCTGGGGACCAGTACTTCAACAATGGAGTTCCTGAGGGACGTTCCATACCGCATCATCATACTTACTTTATAGCTGAGGATATTAAAGTCCGGAGAGATTGTTACAGTCTCAGTATTGCCTGAGGTGTTCTCTCAGGTCACTGCTCACCACTGAGGTCACTGACACCTCACCGAATGTCCGCTAGTACTGAAAATCTGCGGCGTACGGGAGTAAACCTGTGGCCTTGTGGATGCTAGGCAAGTACTCTGCCATTGGATTATATTGCCAGCCCTGCTGGAAATCCAAATCTATAATGTGGACACCAGCCACAAGCAGCCATCTCTGGTCAGTGTATGGGACCAGCCCCTTCCTACCTTTGTGGCGCTTCAGGAGGCAGGGTGGGGTGGGGTATGTGTTCTGGCAGGTGGCAGGCAGGCAAGCAGGCCTCCGAGGCACCATTGGAACCTGTTCTGTCCTTAGAGCCCCCAGGCTACTCCAGCTGGGGGTCCTTAGTCCTATTGCAGAGGAATACAGAGGACTGTGGCGGGGCATTTGAGCAATCACTCTGTTTGTGCAATTAGTCAGTGTTCCACCCATGGCCTTGGGCGGTGCTTCTTCTCCCCCAGCCTCAGTTTCCTCATCTGTCAGTGGATAGAGGAAAGGCTGAGACATGTAGAGCTTTGTTAGCTGGCTGCCCTTCTACGTGAGTCTGAAGAGGGGTTTCCATGTCTGCTGTGTCATCCTTTCATGCCTATAACATGTTGCTCTTCCCTCTGGGCTCAGGGATGTTTACCAGACTTTTCTCTGCTGGATCTGACCCAGGACAAGTCTTAAAGGGACAGTACCCATTGTGTCCCTGTTCTCCATCTGCTTTCAAGGTCTGCTGGAAATGATAAGTGGGTAAGAAATCCACAGCCGTTTCCTAGAGGCTGCCCTGAGCTGATGGTCCATCTGAAAGTGACCATTGGAAGTGTCTTCAGGAGAGAATGAGAACAGGAAAGGGCCCCAGAGAAACGTGGCTGAGCCCTGTGTATACACAAGCCCCACACAGAAGAAACACATCTGCATTTGTTTGCATGAGGGCATTGGGTCTTTGCCAAGTAGCTCAAGGCCAGTGTCTCAGGCTACATCCCTAGTGCTGGGAGACTCTCCTGTGTCAGTCAGGGCTGGTAGAAGCAGGAGAGTCCGTGTTGAGTCCAGTTCAGACACCCCCACTCTGAACTGTGGGATTTAGGGTTCTATCGTGGTCTGTAAAGCAGAAATGCCCTGAAGAGGGCATGTGTGGGCCCTGAAGGGTTTGTTTTCAGCCCCGCCCAATGGTACT